GAAGATTGGGATCATGCCTTACATTTATTTTTCCCTCCCTATGTCATTTTGCAAAATGCTGAGCATTTGGTGAAATCTTACCAACTACTTATTTGAGCTGTATGCTCTGCCTGGCTTTTCCTTAACCCCTCATTTGTCTTCACAGTGGAGAAATCATAGCGTTTACCAGTCTATTTTAAAACAATGATTGTGCAGAAAGCATTTCAAGTAGAATATTTGTCTCATCTCTGATTCTTGGTAAAATGAAAGTATGTGCTTGTATTTGATGCTGAATGATTATAGCAGCCTTTCTAAAAATTATTTATTCTTTATTTATTGGTGCTTCACTGTAACAGTATCATTCCATTTAGCAGGCAAGAGCCATTAAAGTTTGGCTTTTAGACTTTTAAAACCTGACTCCTATCATCACTTTAATTTGTTACTATATCCTTCTGTTAAAAGTCAGTATCTCATGTTCAATTTCAAATTTTAATAAGATATGCCTGTCTGTGTATGAGAAGACATGTCACAGGAAATAACTTCCAATCTTTTAGTAAACAATGAAATTTAGATCCTTAATTTACTATCTGGATTAAGATCTGTCATTAGGGTTCATGTAGTAAGATTAAGATATGAAGAATATTAAAAGTCTAAATTTTCAATTTCTAGAATTGTATGTGTCTTTTTCTTTCTGCCAAAGCAGAAATATTCTTCCTTTTTGTACTTTAACAATGTTCTTTAAAAAAGAAAGTGTTTACAAAAGATAGACTTCAGAATGTGACTTTCAGGGATTTCAATTTGGTAATTAAAGAGAAGAAAAACTACTATTAATAATTAATTAGAATTATACTAGAGAATTATTTACTATATTATAATGGAGATTTTTATGAAAATTAGTAAAACCAGTACCAGGCCACAAAATAATTAGGAAAGTTTGATCAACATATACTTGATAAGCCAATATGTTATTTGATCATGGAGCAGATAATTATTTCATATCAAAGATGAGTTAGTGATTAACAATGCAACCTAATTTTCATGGTTTTGAAATCTTTTCATGCCAGATAGTAAATTTCTCAATGCTTGGGGTTTTTTTTCCTGCTTCAATTTTTCTTCAGTAATTTTTTTGTTTGGTTTGGTTTGGTTTTAGTTTTGGTTTCTTTGCTTACTCCACCTGCCTAGCCTTCACATGGCAGAGGCTTCTCTTGGGGAAAGAATCAGCATTTCCTTTGAGAAGGATAGAATTGCTACCAGCCCATTCATTTACTTGCTACTTTTTCAGGGACAGGAATAATTTCTGTGACGTACAGATTTAATTCTTTCTTCCTTGTCAAACAGCTCTTTTTCCTCCTGCCTTGATTACAAATTCTAGGTTTTATTTTTGTTATTTGTGACACTGGTAACATTTATTTCTTTGGGCCTTCTGGTGGATCTAGTAACCTAGTAACTCTAGTAACCTCAAATGGAGATTCATATTCATGTCTCTCCATTTGCCAATTGGACTTCTAAAAATTAATACTTTATTTTATAAGTAACTTGACCTTCACATTTAAAGAGATATGAAAGTTGTTTTTTTTTTTATCTCTGGATTGTGGAGTTTTCAATGTAATCTAGTTTAAGTACAAAGTAAGTACTTACCATATCTTTGTTGAAGATTGTCAAACTTTAAAAATTCAGGTTCTCTGATATTTTATTCATTTTGGAGGCTGTCTACCCTTTACTGTGAATCGCGTATGGAATATATAACACATTGTTTTTTAAGTCGGTTGAAGCAAATTTAAGACAAAGGTATAATTGTATATCCAGAGGTAAAACTTGTTTAACAGTGAAAAGAGATGAGAAAGAAAGGCTTCTAATTTCATCACTCTCCATCATTTGTCCCATTAATGTTTCTGGTGTGCCTTCTATGTGTCGGGCCCTACACTGAGGAGTGCAAGTATGATGACCAGCAAAAATAGAGATGGGCCTTGCCTCTGAACCTGAGACTGGTGTGTGGTGGGGGGGTTAGTTATTAATCACCTAATCACAAAACTCATAACATTTCAACTGCAAAAGTCAATGATGACCTGAATGCAAAATCTAATTAAACTTTTAAAAGTTTATCTTCTTTTTTCCTTTGATGTAACTTGTGCTTTGTAATTCTACTGCCTCTGCTGGTCCCTTGTCTCTGATCACTCCTCAATATCTTCTTTTTTTTTGGAGATTTTATTTATTTATTTGAGAGAGAGAGAATGAGAGATAGAGAGCATGAGAGAGAAGAGGGTCAGCGGGAGAAGCAGACTCCCTGCTGAGCAGGGAGCCCGATGTGGGACTCGATCCCGGGACTCCAGGATCATGACCTGAGCCGAAGGCAGTCGCTTAACCAACTGAGCCACCCAGGCGCCCACTCCTCAATATCTTCTGATGGCTCCTTTCTTCAGGAGTTTCTTAAGACATAGGGCTCACAGGTTCCATATTACCATGTCTGTTTCCTCTGCAAAACTCTAATTAAAGAACAAACTGAGATCCTAAAAACATTACAGAGTTGACATATATTTCTTTAAAAAATGATAAATACTCATCTTTCACTTACTTTCCCTTCCTCTGGCCATCCTAACAGTGACTGGAAAAGTTATTCCTTATTAAAAAGATCTTTTGATGTTTTTGACTGACTTCTGGTTCAGCAAAGTCTGATTGTCTCCAATCTTTATTTCCAGTTTGGTCCCAAAGAAGAAAAACTACTCTAAAAGTATCTTAAAGTTACAGAATCAGGAGATAGGCAGCCAATTTAAAATTTTCTCCAAATAGTAATCATTTGCATGTATTTACCATCTCTAAGCCAATCATTTTTATTCCCTGAAATGAGATTCTTAGTGTGGTTTGTCTTCTAGGTGCAGTTTTTATTTATATTGTTTGTCTGACAACCATGCTGAGGACAAAGGGGTCAGAGGCAGAAAGACGACAACTTAGACCTTTATTGATAGTTAGTATAATATACCTTGTCTATATTACAATGGATATTTTCAACGCACATCAGTTTTTTATAGTTTCCTAACATTTTTATATCAGGAAAATCAGAAACATTTATAATTAAATTAAACTATATGATAAAAATATAAAGAAAATTCCCCTTCAATTCTGATACATTAATGTCTCCAAAGCTAAAATGGAAGTGAAAAATATGTTAATTTTGGA